ACACACACACACACCACACACACACACACACACACACACACACACACACACACACAGTATGAACTCTATACTTCCAGCTCTAGGTGCTCTGTGTGTTTCTCCCTCTCTGTCCTGCAGCTCCGTTCTTCAGTCAGTCCTTCGTCTCTTCCCTCAGGAACATCTGTGGACTTTCTGTTTATTTACCTTTATTGGATTTATGTCTCTGATCTGATTAAAAATAACTTTCTGTTTTTAATTTAAAGGATAACGATCGCCCACAGAGACCAGCTCGCTTTTGAACCGTGAAACAGTTGATTAGATTTTGACGCTGGTCCAGATTCTGATTCCAGCGATTACATCACACTTTTTTCAGCGTTCAGAGATGATTTAGTAATCACTTAATGTCTCAAAGGAACATTCAGAAAACAGAAAAAAATGAATTATCTTGATATTTATATGAAACAGACGTATCAATGATTGATCAGTTACAGAGTTAGTTTGATCTGCTCGTTGTTTAAGAGAGTTTTATTTAAATGGACATTCTTCCTTTGATAAAGAAATAAAATGATCCTGCTTCACTGGTGACTTCTTGAAATGATCCCTTCACTCTCTCTCTCTCTCCCTATCTCCCTCCCTCTTTCTTTCCTCCCTCCTTAATCCCTCCCTCCTTCCCTCCATCCTTCCCTCTGTCCTTTTGTTGTGTGCCTCCGTCTTATCTCCATGGTTACCTGAGGCACCGGGAATGTGGTGCCACCAAGGAATGTGTACAATTATTAAACCAGCCAGGGGCCAGACACACACACACACATACACACACACACACACACACACACACACACACACACACACACACACACACACACCTGCATTCCTCAGACGTATACACATATCAGTACGCACTCGGTCACACACTCCATACGTTCAAACTTTATCTCTCGATGTAAATATTTGAAAACATTTCTTTTTACTACTTGACTCAAACAGACTCTGACTTTAATTTTCGATTTTGTTCCTTTTAATTTTAAAATATCTTAATTTCAGTAGCTTTTTAATTTCTCACATCAGTTTATTATCTCCCCTCAGTTTGACCTGTTACTGGCTGCTGGTTGTCATGGTAGCAGTCGTCTGATTGATGGGTGACAGGCCGCTCAGGGAGGCTGACCTGGGAGGCCGCCACTAATCCATAAATCCTGCAGAGGTGTGTGTGTGTGTGTGTGTGTGTGTGTGTGTGTGTGTGTGTGTGTGTGTGTGTGTGTGTGTGTGTGTGTGTGTGTGTGTGTGTGTGTGTGTGTGTGTGTGTGTGTGTGTGTGTGTGTAAAGGCAAGACGACTGACTGAGAGAGTTAAAGAGA